GAAAAAAACTTGCTGATGGTTCCAAAAGGGTGGAAGGGCCTCTCTATGGAGGTCATGGGTTCTCCATCTCTGGACGCTTGGAAGAAGCTGGACAGGCCCCTCTCCCAGATGGTTGAATTGCACTTTGAAGAGGGTTGAATGAAAAGATCTTTGTGGTCCCTACAATTCTATGATTCTCAGATTATCTTTCTCCAAAAGTATGTCTTGAGTTCTCAGTGCACATTTCCTACAACCCTATCCAAACAGCATAGGCAGATTTTAGAGTATCTTCACATGCCTTGGGAGAGGATCGAAAGCCACTAATTCTTGACCCTCTTGGTTGAGTCAGCCTCTTCTGGGGTTGACTCAGGTTGTCCTTCTACCATCTATAAAACAGAGATAATAAGCAGCTGCTGGGTTTGCAAAAGAGGGCTTTGATTTTGTTCTGCCTACAAAGCAATTCTCTCACTTAATTGCTGTGTTGAAGCCTCATAAAAAGTCCATAGGCAAATTTTCCAGGTCTTGGGGTTCCTGCTTCACCCCTGTTGGCAGTCACGTCTCTTTATGAGGAACCAAAGGAATGATTTCCCCATTGGAAAGAGGCAAGATTGGGCATCAGGTAGATATTCTTGGAAATGGTCTCTGCCTAACCCTTTCTTGCTGTCATACCTGCTACAAGGAGCACAAGCATCTCCTGCATAAGTAGGACTTGAGACCCCCAAACCTTCATCTAAACTAGCATCCAAGCTTCTTCAAGTGGCATCTTCCTCAGAAAAACACTCTGAGATACAATGGTCTTTCTGGGTTCAGTGCTCAAGCACATTTGTTGTTCATTATTTATTTGTTTTTAAATTTGTCAGCCTGCCCCAACTTTAATGGACAACAAAGTCCAAGAAAAGCCCTTCATATATATGAAATATGAATGATAGAGATCAACTGGATATATAAAAAAATTAGTGTATCAAAAGGGCCATTCATTAGAATGGAGCCATTTATAAAATGCATTAAGGCGACACCGTTGGACCCTAATCCATAGTGTATCCAGATAGGACTAGGAGATCTGAAGAAGAGTCACTGTCAGTGTCAACAATACTACATTAGAAGGACCAAGGGGTTGATTAGGAAGAAGATATGGGTTGTTTAATTTTGGTTTGTTGTATAAGCCACAGTTGGGCTAAGCTCGCACAACATGGAAGCCGTAAGACCTGGTTGATAAGCCGTATTAGCAGAGTTAGAGCGCTGAGCATATTATGGAATAGTGTTATGCTGTTATGGTGTCTAACTGAAAATGTTTCCTCTGTGTTTCTTTGAATAAGATCAGTGTAGAACTCAGCTGGACTCCAAGATATAAACCCTGTTGCTGAGAGAAGTCAAGAGGAACTCAAGGAGGGTATTGACCAGAAACAGGGCCAACGTAACGCACCATAGGATAGACCTTTTCCCGTAAACCTAAGCTGAAACAAGGGAATTTTGCAAACAGTTTCAACAATGCCCCAACCAACACAATCAATTGCAAAATGGCTATAAAGTGGTTGCACCCATCCTCAAGAATTTATTAGGTGGCAGCTAATTAGGACAGGCCATTGCGTCCCAAAGGGTGGTTTCCACCTGCAAGGACGCCACCAAGAACTGTATAAAAGGGTTCACAACTTGAAGGCTGTTCCAACAACTTCTGGTCTTCTCCTCTCCATCAGAGACACAGGTGAGTCCAATTCTTCTTACCTTCTCTAGGTTCACCTTGAGACAGAATCCTCCGATTCATGGGCTGATCGCTGTATGTCCAGATGGAGATCCAATTAATAATAATAGGAATGGGACATAACAATACTGATATCAGCTGGCATTCATGACTTCTAATAGTATCTTTAATGCTAGTTACAAAATTGGGGATCAGTTCCAGGCTTTTTCATTCTACACTTCTACTTAGATGGTACTCAGGTATTCTGGAACAGTGGTCAAGCAGGCCATGATCTTAATAAAGAGTCCCCCCAAATGCTGGAGAGGTCAAGACTTTGGGGGAGAACTCTACCCCATAAGATATGCAAAGGAAAAGCAAACTGAGTTCTGGAGAGGCTACTATTTAAAAGTATTTTATGGTGGTCACTACACCAACCAACACTATTGGCTGAACTGCCCTGATATCAGAGAAGGGAATCCAAGTCTAAGAAGAATGCAACTAACCTCCATCCACAGAAGGAGGTCAGAACAAGAAAGGGTCCTACAGCTTTCCAGGCTGTTGATGGGACATAACAGTTCCAGCCCCAAAACATTCCCCACTCCTGCATTAAACCCTAAATCCAGGTGAAGAAAACCACATTCTTCTGTTGACACGTCTATGCTCTGACTAAACAAACCATACTCTGCATAAAGTGAAAAGTTGATGCATGTAACATGGGAATCTGTAACTGAATTTCCCATCAGATGTTGTACCCATCTGTTTCTTAACCTAATCTAGTGTCTCGTGTTTCACCTTTAAGGTCCTTCCAGAACTTCTCCTCTTTTCTTCCCAGTTTGTCCAACCATGATGTCTTCCTACCATGGTGGAATCTGCCGTCCCTGGAAATATCAGTCCTGCTACAATCCTTGTGGAGGGGGTTACGGTGGCTGGTATGGCCACCAATGTTATGACCACTGTGGCTATGGTGGCTGGTGTAGTTCGCGATGGTGCTACCCACCATGCTACCCATGTTCCCGTTGGGGTTGGGGCTGGGGCTGTTAAGAAGACACTCCCAGGAGCAGAACTACCTGGACATCCAACCTTCGGCTATATCAGTGGAACAACTACCTGCAGAAACACTTGATTCTACAATGCTGACCGAACTGGCTTGAAGACACAGCTTCTGAACCTTTTCAAAGTTCACATTGTCCTCCCTTGCATCTCACTCTGCCATCCTTGGGCTAAAGCACTATATTCTTAACTGTATGCACATCATTCCTGTCTCTGTTACAGTTTGCTTCTTCTCTTCATGCATAATAAAATTATTGCATCCTAACCAATAGCTCCTGCTCTGATTTCTGTTCTTCTTGTCTATTTATGGTTCATGATGGGAACTTATCCAATGGCAACAGAAAGAAATTTCAGCCTCTGTCATCTTCCTCAAAGGCATCATTTCAACAGTGAGAATGCCCAGAAGCATTTTACCCAGAATCAGTTCAGAAATCTGAATCAAACATACATTCGATTCAACAATTGATTCAAACGTCGGAATAGGATTCCGTTTCTCTACAGTGGCACTGCTTAACCAGCCAAATATTTTTTTTATTAACTTTATTGTCTTTATCAAGAACTTTATCATCTTTATCAAGACCAACAGGTGTGGTGTATAGGGACACACTCTTTCTTTTCCAGAGTTTTGAACTTCAGGCTAATGCTTTACAATTATTCTATACTAAAATAATACTTTTTTAAAAAGGGGGGGCTGGGAGAAAAACCATGGAAAGATTGATAACAAACAACAGCAAAGTCTGCCCTCCAGTGGTCAGTCCCAGCTACTGCATCTTCAAAAATGAAGGTTATACAGCATTTCACTGAACAAGCCACTAGATGGTACTGCTTAAACATTCAAGGTATATGTAAGTGGCACAATGAGGAATACCACTCACACCCTATTTGCCAGTCCTGAACCAGTTTAGCCAGTATCCTTGAGCCTAATTTAAAAACAGAAGTATAAACCTGCACCTCTTCCTAACAGCCACCAGGTGGCAGATTTTAACCATCCAAAAAAAGCATGGCAGCTATATAGCACCACCTAGTGGAGGGTATGGAGATGTGCATTTACATTTTTTTATAAATTGTACTTAATTTTGCTGGATAATCTGGTTCTGTTGGTTGTGGTTCATTGTTTGTGCTTGTTTTGCTCTATATTTGCCACACTAGATAGATGTATCCATTCCCACACTCCAGTTAACAAACTCCTTAGATCAGATGGTTCACATATCGACAGGACAAAATCGTGGTCTGTTTTCAAGAGTAGCTATGCCTTTAATTAAAACTTGGAATGTCTACCTCCCTTTTTTCCTTTATTATGCAAATTTCATGCATAGGTTATAGGAATCTGTCCAGAATTACTGGTGGCTGTCGTTGCTCTTTAAGTGGGGCAAAAATAGGGTGAATAAATATATCTGCATGCTGAATATAACAAACTACGCAAGATTTATCACAACTGTTTTCTCCC